TAACCAGCTTTGTTTGAACATTTGTCTGTTTTTCAATACGTTTGTTGCAGTGGTTTTTATAAAATATCAAACAACTCTTTTGTTCTCTGTTGAATTTAATCAAGTTCGATTATCTTTCTTATATAAATTGAATTATTTTCACAGAACACTCTCAGAGGACATGCTCTGTGCAGATATGGATGATAATAGTCCTCAATCTAAATCTTCGATACAAGCATCAGGTTTATCCAATTCTACATCTGGTCAAGTTCCACAAGTAAAATATTCAAACAACCAACATTCTTCTCAAACAGCTTCCTCGAATAATGATTTACTTGTTTATATACCTGATATTCCAACAAACATATCAGAAAAAGAACTTGAGGAAATGATTCAAACTCGTATCAGTACAAATCTACGTATCAAAATGAGTGATATAAAATGCTATTCAAATCTCGGTGTTGCTGTGATTCGATTAATGAATGAAGAAGACAAAAAACATCTTGTTTCTAATGTTCAATCAATGGTTCTCGACGTGAAACATAATACAAATATATTGTTCGTTGATGAGCTCGATCTCGATTCTTATATAGTACTCGATCGAAATATATCCAAAAATTCCTACCGCTGACGAAGTGGCTCGTCGCTATATGCAAGTATATACAATAGCAGATCTTCGTTCATGTCAACAGATATCCGTTCAGTTTCCAAATATTTTTCGTTTCTCTCTGAATACATTCGATGAACCTGTTAAAGCAGTTAAAAATCCAGATTTTAAAATTGGAAGTGCCTTTGCTACTGTTTATTTGCGTGCTGATTGTAGTTATTTTGAAGATTTACCACCATATACTAACGATGAAAATATTTCATCAGCCATTGCCACTCAAATTGATGAAAATAAACTTCAACTTACGTCTTTTTACGTGCAATATAATAAGCAGACAGGTAATGCAATTGTCTTAGCAACACAGTCAAACAAAAAATGGATAATAGAAAGTGTTTTAACCATCAATGGACAAAACATAACAAAAAAGACAAAGCTTGCGTATCGTGTTCTTGTCTTTCCTGTGCCTGAGGGTTTTAATATCGATCAAATTCTTAAACATCAATTATTTGGACGAATTGTTATGATAATTGTTTATCAGTTGGTGCTCTTCGTTTCTGCAACATCATGATGCAAATTGTGTCACATATTCTAGCTGCTGATCCAGACAAAACTGAAATAAATGCTGAAAATTGGTATGAAACAGAGATGTTCAATATAAAACCAGATATAATGACAATGATAAGAAATCTTCAACATCCAATATTTCGTTATAAATGGAATGCACAAATTTGGATTGAACAGATGAAAAAATTAGATGTGAGAGATAGACAATGAAAAAAATATGATCTTAATCAACATTATTACGAGTAACAGTTATGTTGAACACAATAAGTGTTGTTCGAAAGAAAAAATATGTAGTTGATGATGAAGAAATAATTTTAAAATCTGAACCTATGAAAACAATTGGATCCAATCATTAATCAAAATTATTATACGGAAAAACAATTGCTCAAACAGATATGAAAACACCCTATCCATCAACAAATATTATTGTAATTAATCAAGATTGTCTTGCTCTTTATGAAAAATTAGTCTCCGAAGGACATCGGCCATTATTATTAAATATGGCAAATGCAACTAATCCTGGAGGTGGATATCGTAAAGGTGATGGAGCACAAGAAGAAAATCTATTTCGTTGATCAGATTATTATCAAAGTCTTGATGCTGATGTTGCCGATAAAGAT